CCTTACCAGATTTGGAACACCTCTGGCGCTGTGTAGAATTACCTACCAAAAAGAGGCTAAAGCATGGAGGTGTGTACATGTCAAGACCCAACGGAGCTCTGGGCGTACCCATATGGGAGTCTTTGGACATTACGAGGGCCTGAGACCACCAAAACTAGTATAGCTAGTACAAGTGCATGTAGTGTGTAACCGGGGCTACAACTGCCGAGAATTACCATAAAAAGAAATGATGACGCACCTGTTACGAACTCCTGAGCCTCATGATGCTATCCAACTATAAAAGGCTCTAGAAGTGCAGGGTAACCTGTTATGAAACATGCCCCCTGCGTGTATGTGTTGTGTAGGTCCCCCTAAAAAATGCCAGCAGTAGCCGCGGGCAACAAGTATACATATATTTTTTTAAAAAAAAAAAAAGGCAACAGACAAAAAAAAAAAAAAAAAAGAAGAACGTTGATCAAATAAAAAAAGAAGAACGTTGATCAAAAAAAATAAAAATAAAAATCTTGAAAAAGGAAAAAAATGTTAATGCGCGAAAAAAATATCATGTGGCCGGAGGTTGCCACTAGGATCTTGGATCTTGTCTATTACCTTGGCATTTGGACTGAGCTCTGGCCGATTCAACATTGTTACGTTTCATCACGTAATCTTTCGATGGCCTGCCATAAACTAGTTTGATAGGAGAAATAATCACTGATAGAAACTTATGACAACCTAGTCGAGCTCAGGTGGTTTTGAGGTACTTTCAACTCTAGTAGAATCATCATGGATACCGTCTTTTTTGTTTAAAGAAGCTTCATATCGTGCTGTCATCTTGATACTTTGTTTGCTTGCCGCTGCTCAACGATTTGGCATTGGGACTTACATATCCTTTTTTTTTTATTTTTATTTTTTTATTTTGTTTTTGTTTTGTGTTTCTTGTCTGATTGTCTGGTCGTTTTTTTAATGGTGCACATTATCTGCCATAACTTAAAATTGCCCGTTGTGTGCATCACGACATATGACTTTGGATAAGTACTCAGCAATGTGGCCGGCATATGTGATTTGACTGATTTGCTCACAAACATTTTTTGGACTCCAGATGTTAAGGATGTTAAGCTCGTCATTAATTATGACTTTCCGACTAATGTTGAGGTAATTAGGGTCTACATTTATATACTGTATATAGGTAACCTGTAATCTGTAGTAATATAATTTTTTTTCCATTTTTCCATTAGGATTATGTTCATCGTATTGGGAGAACAGGGCGTGGTGGTGCCAAAGGCGCTGCTATAACGTTTTTCACAATGGAAAATGCCAAACAGGCTAAAGATTTAGTGAACATATTACGTGAAGCCAATCAGGAGGTTGATCCAAAACTTTTAGAATTTATGAAGATCGCTTCTGCGAGTACTACTGCAGGTAATTAATTTATCGTATTAATTAGGTTATATATTGGGACTATGCTGAAATTGGATGTTTCTCAAATTCTGGAGACCCAATTTAGACATATTAGATCTACTATACTCTTTTTGTTAACTAATCTAATCTTAAATTCTAACTTAACTCTATAAAACAACACTGTACCCCATTATACTGAAATAGGTCAAAAAAATTCAGGTCAAGATTTCAGCATCATTCCCGAACATTATATAAATAAATAAAATTTAACATGATATTGTATTTCAATTTATAAATATATAGGTCGCTCAAGATATAATAATGGTGGTGGCGGCGGTGGACGCGGATATAATTCTGGAGTTAGTAGTCGTTCTCGGTGGTAAATCAACCTAGATATCTGAAATTAGACAGGAATAAGACAGTGCTAGTAATGATAAATCCTATTAATGTTATGCTTGCGAGTGTTTGTGTACACTAAAAAATATGTGTATGTGACGGTTAAATTGATATAAATAAATTTTTGAAAATGTGAAAATACAATTCTGCAAAATTTAAATCACGTGGCTGTATGTAATGGTAGGGTATTGTTAGGATTTGCATATCACGATCTTGTAGTGCGATAATCCTTATAATACGAGTGAACAATTTTTTACTTACCATACGCGTATTTACATATATATGGGAACACCTTCGTGGGATTAAATATAGAATAGGTTACACCTCCGGCAAAGTTTCCGGAAACTACAAAATGTGGCGCAGCGCCACTTAACGTGACCAATCAAGTAATCACGCGATACTGATTGATCACGTTAAGTGATGCTGCGTCACCAGAGACCTTTAAAAATTTGTATACAAAATTAATACAATTCTACAAATTAAAGCAAATTTTTAAGAGTAAGTACATGTGATACATATAAAATTTGATTGGCTAATAAGACCATGTAATTAAAAAATGAGATCATGAAAAAATATAAAAAAATATACTGTATTGTATAAGCAAAATCGGGACAAATTTTAAATATTTTCAAAGGTTTATTTAACTATTTTAATTAGAGGTAATGTAACCATCTCTATTAAAATTTAGTTAGATGTAGCTTTAGAAATTTTTTTTTTATATACAGTATACAGTATAATATACATTATACTGTATTAGATATATTTTAATTTTAATTTTTATAAAGTTTTTGGGGTTTTAACCATTTTTATATAGAGTACCTAATTTTATTTACTTAATACATATTTGAGATATAGTATCCTTGGTGATACAGTATAACCAGAGGCAAGTTAGCAAAAGACAAATAAAATTATAAATCTTATCAACTCTTTCACAAAGCAATTAGAAATTTTATCATATTTGGTGATTGACAATTAGTAAATAAAATTCAAAGTCAAAATTTAGTACACAATATGTACCAAATTTTAAATTTAATATGTACAAAGTTTGATACAGTAAAACAAGACTAACTATATAATGTACATTATTTTAAATAATTATTGAAAAGTTGTATGCACTATTTTATTTTTTTTTGTATACAAAAAATTTTTCTATATGTAGAGCACACATGTGTATATTGAATTTTATTTACTGTTGACAATCATATTATATTTAAAAATAATTATTAATAAAATATTCTAGAATTCCTTACTATATATATAGATTGTTTTACTTATTACAATAATTAGCTAATCAAATATAAAGTTTATATTAATCAATTTCTAGATTTTATATACACTACCTCTAAAGGTTTTAAAACAGTGATGTAGTTTACAGAAAACTAAATAATTTACCAAACAACCAAAAAGATTTTAAGTAATGAGCAGGTGTTCCAGAAATTATAGCTATAATATATAAATATCTATTATATAATTATATTGAGACAGAGAATAACTTATTTTAAATACTCAAATTAACAGATTTTTTTATTATTTAAATATGAAATATTTATGAACTTAATTAGCTTATTTCAAAACTTAAATAAATTTTCTTCACAATTATCTAAATAACACAAACAAAATAAAGTTAAATAGTTATTATTTTGAAATCTGAATAGTTTAATCTAAACACTTAAAGTATTAATTATTTTTATACTAATATGACAAAATAAAAATACTTAATTTTAATAAAAACTTACTCATATATTACAAATATTTTACTTGTTTATCAATACTAAATATATCTATACTTTTTTTACACAATACCAATTTTTTATAAATATCTAATATTTGTATATTAAATTTTAATATTAATAGTAGCTTTGAACTGACAATGCTATACATTTTCTGTTATATTGAGGTTTAACTATATTATACAAAGATTTAATTAATATTAATAAATTTTATTATTTTATATTAATAGTTAGTTTCTTTAGGTATAAATTTGACTTTTCTTTTCTAAAACATAATGACTTTGAAAAGTATAAAAATTAGTTTGGATTTAGAGTTAATATTAAGAAAAAACTACAGTATATTATTATTAATTTTTTTTTTTTTTAATTTTTAGGGGATACCCTGGGTGTAGCACCCGCCCCAAACTTTTATTAATACTTAAGTGGATTGACATATGGTGGTGCCATAAACACATACATATTACATATTGGTAT